ATTATTATAAAATTTATTGATAAATTAGTAAGAATTTTGAATTATTCATCATAATTTAGTCAAAATATCTAAAAAAAATAACAATATAGCAAAAATATATTGCTTATTTTCAGAGGAATACGATATCTGATTTTAGCTAATTTAGACTATTTTAATTAGTAAATATAATAATATAATTTGACATAATTATATATTTTTATAATTATTTTTAGTTATAATGTAATATTTTGCAATTAGTTTTTTAATTTTATAGAAAAGTATATCTAAATAATAAAAACTTTATTTAAATTTAATCATAATATTTAACTAATTATAAAATAAAAGTTAATTTATAATTTTTTATAATTTTAGTTAAATTTTATTATAAAGTTTGAAATAAATATATGTAAAAATTTTAATTTAAATCATATGATTTTTTAAATATATAATATTAAAATAATTAAAATTAAATTGTATACAGTCAACCCTCTCTAAATGCACACTCTCTAAATGTACACACTATATATTTTCTCTCTAAATACATGCTCTTGTTCAGTCTCAAGCATATAGAATTCATATAAAAATTTTATCTTTAAATGTATACACTCTTTAAATGCACATTTTTTAAAATTTTCACTATGGTCCTGAAAGGATGCATTTAGAAAGGGTTGACTTTATATAGTTTTAAATATTTTATAATATTAATAAATATAAAATATATTAAAATTTTAATATATAAATAGAAAAAATTTTAGTAAAAAATTTTAATTTATAATTTTAAATTAAAATAAAAAATTATTAATTTTTTTTGAATTTACTAATAATTTTGATAAAATAATTTAATATATCTAAATTAATTTTAATAAGTAAATAAATTTCATTAATAGATACTTAATATTATATATATTATTATTTAAATATAATTATTATTTTTTATTAATAAAATTTTTTTATTATTTAAAATAAAAAATAATAATCATATATAAAAAGTTTAAGAAAATTTTTAAGTTTATATGAGATATATATATCTGTATCATATGACATATATTTGTCACTAGTATCTCATTTTTTATCTTTAGTTTTTATAATTTATTTTAGAAACTTAGAATTTTTTAATAAAAAATTAGAAATCTTAATTTACCTATGTAGTAAGATAAATTTTTATACATTCCTACCTGATTGGTTACATATTTATTTATTCACATATTTATCAGTATATTTTACTTCAAAAACTTGCTCAGTTGTTTTCTCTTTTTTTAGAATGCTATTAGATAATTTGAAAATTATTTTTATACAGTAAATATAAAATTTATTTAGTTGAATATTTATTTATAAATTTATGACATATAGTAATATTACTTTTATTAATTTCTTTATTTTTCATTTTTTTACAGATATTTCATGACATAATTTTAGCAACTTATTAAAACTAAATAGGTAAAATAAGTTATATGTACCAAAGTATTTGCATATTATAATAGTTTTGAAGAGTTAGTTTGAATAATTATAAGAATAAGTCATAACAATATTAGAATGCGTTTGTCAAAGATTTTAAGAAATACTCAAAACTTTAAATTAACTGAACAGAAAAATAAGTTTAGTTTAAAAATTTTACAATATAGTACTATTTAATGAATTAAAATTTATTTATTTTTCACTTATAATGACTAAATAATTAAAACTATCAGTTATCTATAAATTTCGGTTATTTATAAATTTTAATATTTTCTGTCTTTAAGTTAAAAGTGTGCAAATTTTTCTACTTTTTATACTTTAACATGAAATATTTTATAAGTAAAATATTCATGGTGGTTAAAGTAATCTTAATGCCGATCATATCACGTGATCCGTATACAATAAACCGTGTACAAATAGAAATTGCCATAAGTTTATTTATAAATATGATTTATTAATATTTTATTATTTTTTAATAGATATATTTTTATAATAATTAAAAAATTATTTAATTTATAACTTTAATTTTAAATTATTATTTAAAATTTTAATAAACAAAAATTACTATTTTTAAATATAATACAAATTTTATATAATAATTTAAAATGTATATTAAATAAATACAAAATATTTTATATAATATTTAAATATTTTAATTTCGTTATCGTTGCATTAGAAAAATCTTATTATATAGATGCATATAGGAATTATAAACGAATATGCAATTAAAAAATATAAATAAAATTATGTGTATATTATAAATAAATTTTGGTCACTGTTTGGTCAATTGATTGATGTGTATAAAAATTTGGCAGTGTTTTTGAAAATTTATTGCGACTAAATTGGTAATAATTTCTCATCAATGTTGAATGGTCTTTTATTAATGATTTTGTCAGCACGTTCTGTATCTATTCCCTCGACCTGTAAGGTCAGTTGTGATGCATTGTTAATATCTGGCGGATTATCCTGAAAATATAAAGCTTGACCAACAAATGGCCCAAAAATACATTTCCCAATTCTGAACATTCACAATACCTGCAATTTTCTGAGTTGTAACATCGGTTGCAGCTTTATAACTTTCCTCCTAATAATTGTCTAAAGTGAAGTTGCTTTTTTGCAGACCTTATATTGATGCACTTTATTTAGAAAATGACCTGAACACAAACCCATCTCTAGCAGCTTTGAAGCACAATTGAGGATAAACAATTGATAATCTCGAGCATTAACATTCTCGTGAGTACATGTGATAAACCATTCCTTTTTATTGATATTAAATGGGTTTCAACCTGTTTAGTTGCAATATAGAACCCAAGATTGAAAATCAATATCAATATAGCCACTATGTGCATTTCACTCATATTTATTTACATTCTCTCCTTCATAAAAATTTCAAAGAGAAAAGGTGGAAAAATGTTTTTATGAAATAAAAAGTTACCCCAGCACTCGAAAATAACTCATACGAAACATTTTTTGCTTATTTAAGGAAAAAATTCAAAATATCATTGAAGATAATGGGTTTTCAGCTTTATTTTCAAAGTCAATAATTTGAAACAATTTGTCGAGCACATTATCGATTTCAAAGATTCAGATTTTTTATAAATATCAAAAGATTCCCATTAATATCAGCTTTTTCTTAAAAACTTGGTTGGTTGGTCATGTAAATTTATAACTTGTACCTTTCTCGTAATCATCAATATTCAAACAATCTTTATTTGCAGCATTAAAAATTTACCAAGTGACTTCAACCTTTAAGTAATTATGGAGAAAAGCCTCAGAGTTTTTTAATAAGCATAAGGAATCCACTTAAAACAGATAATCTGAGATTCTTTATTAATATTGGATAGAGTAGTACTTCTAAGCAAGCTTAGCAAATTATTCAACAGGATAATAATAGTCAAAATAATTTCCAATATCCTTGATTTTTTAACGGATTTATAATTTTTGCTTTATATTTTTTTTTGTTTTCAGTGTATTAAAAATATTTTTTTTTTTCGCTTTGTAATTTTTGATCGAATAATGGAATTTTTTTTTAAGGAAAAGACAACGGAATATGAATATAGTCCGTTATTTTACCAACAAAAATGAGATGTTTGAATTATATGATACGTAGGATATTAACAAAGCTATGTAACATCAAAAATTTGATTTTTAGAAATGATCAACACAAAATTTGGAAACGATCGACATTATTATTTAAAAAATTAAAAAAGTTTTCAGATCCTTCTAAAATTTCAAAATTAATAGTTTGAATGGGTGTTTGAATGGGATTGGGTATTTATACCTCCCAGTAAAAATTTTTTTATTTATTTTTTTTTTTAAAATAATTTCAATTATTTATTAAAAATTAATTTTTCTTTAAAGTTGCTTAAAAAAAATTTTTCATTATAAAAAGATTATTTTTAATTTCAAAAGTTATTTTTCTAATAAAATTAGTGTAACAAGATCCATAGAGTGATTTGTTACGAAATTGATTTTCAAGTATTACAAAAATTTGTGTAATAATGTCCCGTGGGCATTGGAAGCTTCCAATGAATTTTATAGGAATTGGAAGTATTATTGTAATTGGAAGAAATGGAAATCCAAAAGTACTTCCAATTTTCACTTAATATAAAATTTATATGTTTCTATAGGCATTGGAAACCCAATAACTTTTTATTGGAATTATTGGAATTGGAAGAATTGGAATTCCAATTTCCAATACCGGTAGGGTAATTTTAATAATATAATTTTATGTATGTTATAATAACAAAAATTTTAATATAAAAATTTTAAAAATTTTAGTTAATTAATTCAAATTAGAACAATTGGAAATGTTTAATGTGGCATAGAATTTTTTTATTTTTTTTTTGATCATCATATACTCAAAATCAATTTCTTATCCCATATGATCGGCATAAAAATTTTTTAAATATATTAAATATATTAAAGCTATCATAAACTATAAAAAAAAAAAAAATTTTTTTTTATAAAGATTTAGGTAGGAATTTGTCAATAAGCAAATTCCAGATTTGGTAGTGTAGTATTTTTCTTTTTCGCCAATCAAAGTTTAAATACGCATAGAATATATTTCTTTTGTGGTCTTTCTAGTCTATTTATAGTTAAGCAACTAAGTTGATTGAAAGGAGAAGCGTGTTATTAAAGAAATCCACATTTTAGAATAAAATTTTAGATAATTTTTTAACCGGTTAAGAGAAACAGCTACAGCGGTATATTAATGCATATAATTCTGGCATTTTTTTTAAAATTGTGAAAATATGTTACGAAAGTTTTAAACATATTTAATTAAACTTTTATTGCCAGACCAATTTTTATCCTTAAAATGACACCTTAATTTTTAGCAGTATATAAAGATAGATACTAAACAAATCGATATACATGTTTTATTTATGAATATAATAGATCATATATAATATATCATACTGTAAAGTGATTTTTCTAAATCTAAAAAGTATATTAGAAAAAAGTATAAATATTTTATCAAAAAAGGGAAAAATAATAAAAGTAAATAAATATGAAATTTATCCTTTAAGTAAATATTTCAGTCCTATTCATAAATTAATACGAAATTATTGAGTATTATCTTGAATATTATTTCTATTATCATTTTGACTATCACCGCCTTGTCGAGTAGATGGGTCATTATTGACTAAATCTGCATTAGAAGTGCTACTCTGTCCAATATCATTGATGTTAGATCCCAAATTATCAGTAAGAAACTGTCTCAAGTGGAACTCGAGGTTTGCCTTATGCTGATTAGAAAACTCCAAGGGTTGTCATTGCCGCTGTTCGTTTTACCTTAATCCATATATGTTTAGGTTTAAATACTGAACTATAGTTGAATGTGAAGCCATTTGACAAGTCACTTTGTAAATCTTTTGACCATTAGGATGCTGAAAATAAAATATAAAAATATCGTAATTGTAATAATTATGAGGAGGATACAAGGTATTGATTATAAGCTCGTTAAGAGTTGTCTCTTTATTATTGATAAGATAAATTTGAAAATCATTGAATGGCTTGTAATAGAATGACCATCCTTGTTCTTGAGAAGAAAGTTGAGGATTTGTTGGCGTGCTATTTGAAGTTTCTTGCATTGCATTGATAGGATCGTTACTATCTGGATTATGTAGAGTAGACATTTTTACTTTGCTGTTGCGTTAAAAATTGGTGTGAAATATTTCTTGCGTAATATTCTGCTACGCCACAACGATTAATTTTGTCTTTTATATAAAACTTTTTTTTTTAAAAAAATTTTGAAAATATATTTATAATAATAAAAAAATTTCAGAATATATAATAAAAATAATAAAATAATAAATATATATATATATATTTTTTATAAATAAAAAGATTTTTGGAAAATCTCAGTATAATATATTATAAAATAAAAAAAAAAAATTTTATATAATAAAATAAAAAAATATTGGAAAAGTCTCAATATATAAAAAATATGAATATATATTTTGAAAAATCTCAGTATAATAATGTATAATAATAAAATAATAAAATAATGAATTTTATTTTTTTGAAAAACTTAATATTTATATATGTAATAAAAAAAAATAATTTTAAAAAATTTTTTATCTTTTTTTTTTTTTTTTAAAAAAAAAAAAAATTTATGGAAAAATCACTATCCAAAGCTTTTATTTTCTAAAAAAATTTCATAAAAATTTTTTTCTTATTTTGTTTTTGGATGTTTTAATAAATTTTTTGGAAAAGAATAAAAAGTCTCCAAAGCTTTTTTTTTTCCAGAAAACTTTTTCTTATTTTGTTTTGGAAAAATCTCAAAAATCAAGGATATATATATAAAAACTGTGTGAGACAAACTTCAGATGTATTTTAAACAGATGATACTGTGTGGGTGAAACGAAAATCAGATGATAACATTTGTGTTCACTAACACCCTTTATTTCCATATAAAATCTTTGCGCAATGAAAAAAGCTTATAACGAAACTCTATTAAATTTGTGGAATAACGGCATATATAATGAAATGACAAAGAATTACATATAAAAAAAATTGAAAAAATTAAAAAAACATGGTTTGTTAAAGCATGCTGGAGGGAATGGTCGACCTAAAATATTACCACAAGTACTTGCACTTGGTCAATATGTAATACACGATATTTCTCTTTCCACAAGAACTTTGGCAAGAATTAGAAAATTTAGGTGTGGTGGTATCATATAGAACTGTCGGAAGGCATCTTGTTATTTAAAAGGCGAACAAATGCTGACCGAATTATACAAGCTAAAACTTGTTGAGTGGGCACGAAAAACATATTAATGACCGATGGAACAAAACTATATTTACTGATGAAACAGCATTCCAGCTCTTTAGAAATACAGTAGAACGTTGTATAAAGGAAAAAAGACCGGTTCGAAGAAGCTTTTGTGCAAAAAGAAAAACAAGCTTAGAATGGAAATTCTTCGTACACATTGTATATACTGTAATAAAATATTTTTTTTTAAAAAAAAAATAATAAAACTTATAATTTAAAATTAAAATTTAATTTATTTTATTAAAATAAAATATACAAATATAGTTTAAAAATATTAAAAACAATATAAAAAAATAAAAATTAATATAAATAATAATAATAAAAAAAAAATAACACGGTAAATTAATATAAATAATATATATATAAAAAAAATACGGTAATAAATGTAATAAAAAATATATATATAGTCAATCGAAATCTAAATTTTGGTCAAAATTTATTGGTTCACTTGACCGATCACAAAGTTAGCTTGTTTTTGATAATAAAACCGCAAATGTCCGGATGTCCGATTCAAAATAGAAATGATTTTGGTTCTATTACCATTTTTTTTTTTTTTTTGGTATTACTAATTTATTTCGAAAAAAAAACAGATGATTATTGATACTAACTTCACGGGTTATCAGAGATTACTTCACAATTCACAGTAAGCAATGAATTGACTGGATATTTTGCCACGAAGTGGCAAAATCCACCAATCAATGCATTGCTATAGTAACTGTTTAGTTATCGGAGTATGTGGCTGTGTAATTAGTAGAATTTACCTCCAAGTTCTGATTGGCTGGTATAATTGATTATGCTTATTTATAACATCCCATATTGTGACAAATAAGCATCACCCACCGAAAAAATTCCAAGTCCCTCAAAAATTTAATAAAAATTGAAACATCACCAGTGTCACGCCGGTGACAAACCACCTAACCCCTAACCCTAATCCTAACCCTAATCATAATCTCAATTATACCAGCCAATCGGAGCTTGGGGTAAATTAGTAAATGCTAATTAGTATACATAAACTCAATTTCTTTTACTGTGTATCATGTTGACGTATATTATTTATTACACACCCTATTATTGATAATCAACAAAAGCTTCGTCTCGGAAAAAAAAACTTGAATTGTACATTTAATTGCTGAATATTTCGAATAAAATATTAAACGCATAATCCCGATAAAAAAAATATTCTACTTGCCGATTCTTTATAATGTGTTTAAGGGATTAAAATTGTGATATACTGAAAATGAGGTTTATATCTGAATGAGTATCAAGTAGGCAAAAGCATAATCACTTCGACATTATAGAAGACTTGATCACATCTTTGGGGATCCACAGTAAAATTTGTCATAAAATTTCAGAATCATCTATACGTAAAAGGTCATTACTTGAAAGATTTCGCTTGCATTTGATTATTAAAGATTTAACAAAATAATAATTCTTGGGTAATTACAAAAATGATTTTGGTAATGTTAAAATTCCCTTTCTCACTATCAAATAATTGATAGATCTAGCTTATTGAATTATATGCTTCTCTAGGTCCGTCAGTAAAATCTTCACCAAATAAAGAATAAGAACGAGCACTAATGATTGTCGAGTATATGGAAAACCGGTACGGTACGATTCGCCAGACCAAATTTGACATCGTACCGTACCGTACTGGTCCTATAATAACTAAGCCCTATTATAAGACCAGTACGGTACGGTACGCAATGAAATTTTTGTAAAATTTATTTTTATTTATTACTTATTTTATAAATACAACGAATTTTGATATTTTATTATATTAAAAAAAAAAAGAAAAAATACAAAAATGCGAAATTTGACATCGTATCATACTGTACTAGTCCTATAATAGGGCTTAGTTATTTATTATAGGACCAATACAGTACGGTACGAATTTTATAAAATCAGTCTATACCATCATAATTATTATAGGACCAGTATGGTACGATCCAATTTTGCGAAAAAATACTGATCTGCATGATCGTACTGTACTGGTCTGGCGAATCGTGCCGTACCAGTTTTTTATCTACCCATGATTGTCCTTTTTTTCTTTGTAATTTTCTGAAGTTTTATGTATAGAAAAAATTTGTTGAACATATAAAGTAATTGCACAAAGAAATTGTGCGACATTTTGAAAGAATGGATACTTACAAGATAGCGTGACATAATATTAAAAGAGACCCAAAAAAATGCATGATGTAAATAAGTGACTATAGAAGAAGCATTTTTTAATAAGTTTATTAATAACTTCAATGTGCTTGTAGAGTTGATCGATCATTGTATAACGGATTGTCTTCTTTACAAAATCCAATCCTACCAACGCAATGCAAGAAAATTCTCAAGCTTCTTTTCGAGAACCTGGATGGTCATTCTACTACAAGATTTTCAATTTTATCAAAGAGATAATCCTTAACGAGCTTATAATTAATACCTGTATCATCATTATTACGATTTTTTTATATTTTATTTTCAGCATCCTAATGATCAAAAGATTTACCAAGTGACTTGTCAAATGATCTCACATTCAATTATAGTTCAATATTTAAACTTAAATATATGGATAAAGACAATGAACAGCAGCAACAACCTTGGAGTTTTCTAACAAACCTCGATTTTCACTTGTGACAGTTTTTTACTGAACTGATAATATGGGTCGGTCCAATATTAATATTGGATAAGTAATGTAAGTTTAATAATAAATAACGATCAATCTACTCTAAAGGATAATAATTAAAATAATTTTCAAATTTACGATAACAATTCTGGTTTCACAACCTTAAATTTATTATTTGTCTTTTATATTAAAAATTCTTTTATATTTATCTTTTTCTTATAACGGAATTTTATCTAAAAAAAAATAAAAAAAAAAATAATTACAAGATTCAATGCCATAACCCGGATATTACACTTGGGCGCAGAATTCTTCCATCAAAAATATCACGAAATTTCACGTGATATATTTCTATCACGTTATTTTTCTAAAAATACTTCATTGTTTGCTTTTTTTTTTTCACTAACTCCTTGCGTCTACATCTCCTATCCATAACTCTTCCTTTTAAAGATACTTATTCCTAATAATTTCGGCTTCGTTATGTATTATAATAGCTATTGAGACGTTCACTTGAGACACTACTATACCGGAAAATGCTTTGAGTAATCGCGTGAACTTTGTAATATTGGGTTAGGATCTGGGGGTTTCGCCTCCAGGTTAGGATTTATTATAAAAAAACTTTCCCTTTGAAATTACATGAAGAATTAATCGTGTGGTAGGTTAGAGGGTTGGAGTTGGAAATAGTGCTTAGAAGGTAAATATTTGAGTAACTAGTTGTTTAAAACTAATGCCGCATAAAATAATAATTTTTTTTAAAATGGTTATTTGACAAATTATACAAATGTAATTTTGGTGTGCAAATTACGTAAATTATCACTATACATTAGTTTGTTTAAGAGTTGGGAAAACTGCGAAAAATTTAAAAAGCTGACCGAAAATCATGATTTTTACCAGCCAGCTCTTCTACTTTTCTTTAAAAGCAGTATTTAAGTATTAATTAGAACCTCGGAAAAATTATCATTTCTTTAAATAATTGCGTTTTACCTTTTTCCCATTTCTTTTTTTTTTTCTACGTTGACAAATGAAAATCAACCCTCATGACTTTTAAAAATAAATGGTGCTCATTCTTATTTGGTAAATTTTTTAAATCCCTTTCTCACTCTCAAATAACGTTCAATAGTAAGTTCAGTAATTTCAATGGAAATTTAGTTATCAATTAAATTAAAATGTTTCTCTTAGGAAGCCAGGAACGGTTTAAATCTCGGAAATAAATCGCGACTTTAGATACAAAATAAATAAGCTTCATTAAATTA